ATTTCTTTAGTTTTGCGTAGAGTTTGTATTCGATAAGTTGTGTAAAAACCTTTTGAATATTCATTATATATATAACTCTATCTTTTAAATAAATTAGAATATTATTAAAATATACCATATAAATGCTATCCATTAAGCTGGATAAAGCTTAATTAATATATATCTGAAATATCACAAGAATATTAGTAAGGCTAAAAGGTATTACCCTATACTCATATTAGCCATATCACATATAAAACGCAGTTTTTCACTCATCCCCCGCTTTTATACAGATTCGATAATAAGCATCCTATAAGTTTAGCTTAATAAATATAATACCTTATCAAAATCGATCTAGAAATTCACTAATAAGAGATAGAAGGGTTCAATTCTTTTTAGTAATCCGGTTAAGCTCTCAATAATTGATATATAGTCAATAGCCTCCTCTCTTCTTTGAAACAAATATAATAAATACTCTTATCAAACTGATAGATCTTTTTATTTACTCTTTTCTTTAATATTCATCTAAATACTTTTATAATATTACTAATTCTTTCTTTGATAAGAAATAAATCAAGCCTCAAGAAGGGGTCAAACTGAATTCGAGATTAATACAATACTCTATCAGATAATATTCAAATAAAAGGCTACTTTCGTTTTCCAAAAAAGCCTTTTTATATTTCTGAAATTCTTTTAATATTTTATATAAAGTTAATATAAATATTAGGCAGCTTTTTTTTATTTTTGATTATAAAACTATTTTGTTTAAAAAGATTATAAAGACTACTTTACCTTCCTTTATTTTCCAATAAAATTCTTTTATAAAAATGATTTTGAGATTACTCAAAATAAAATAATATTGAAATAATGTTGACTTTCAATTGATATTAGGATTAACTGTTTGTAATTATAAGAGATCTAGGATAATGTTTATTCATAATAGGTTCAATACTGCTGATATAAAGTTATAAGTATGGATTCTTTTTTCCCCTTTTTCATTTTTTATTTCAATAAAGAATTTATAATCCCTATATAATATAATTGCAATACCATTTGCTGATATAAGAGGAGTGCTTTTCTTGATAGGAGTCTAGTTCTATTCAATATACTTGCTTTATTATATAATATTAACTTATACTCCCGAGTTGATAAAGTATTAAAACATTATCGGCTTGCTATTATTATTAAAGATCATTATAATTATAAAAATTGTTTATTCTTCTTTATATAAACCTAATATTAATAAAATACTTATTATAATTACTGGGTCTAGATATTTCTTATATAAATAGCCTTAGAAGGATTATTTTGGCATTTGTTTTCTTTATACCTTCCTTTACAATATTTATACATAAAATTATTCCAATAATTTAAAGCGATATGCCCTTTCTATTAGTATTTATAGTATATAGTAGTCCGTATATGTTTTGTATATGATATATTAATAGGGTGTCTTAATATCTTGAAGAATTCCTTTCAAAAAGATTGATTTGATTCTTAAACCTCTATTTTAATAGTTAGGATCGAATTGTTTTCTAGATAAAAGTGTTTAGATGGATTTCGATATTGAAAAAGTGATTGGTTATATTTACAGAATCAATATAAATCCTTTGTATCTTTTCTTTAAAATAATTTCTTTATACTTTCTAGTTTATAAATTTATTTTATAAGCTTATTATATGATTCAGATTATTATAAGGATTTTGATATTTTTCTAGTTATACTGGGTAATAAATTTATTAAAAGTCTTTCAACCTGAATACTCTCTATCTTCTACTTGATATTCTCTTTAAGGCCTTCTAGGTAGATTACAAATATATTTACAGTTTCTTCTTTTTTTTGCTTTATATATATAATCTTTTGGATTGCTTATTGTTATCTAATCCTTTTATTTATAATAGTGTTATATATATATTCCCTGAAATTTTTCTAATTCATTTCTTTATAACTTAACTTGCTTATATATTAATGCTAAATTGCTAGGGATATCGTTTCGAAATATGATTTTTATTTAGAAAAAAAAGTTTTTAGTTTTTTCAATATTCTTTTCTTTATATTGTTTCAATCTCTATAATTTCAATAGTTTTCTTTAATTAAGGTTGGTATCTTGATGGGTTATATTCAATACAACTACAGATCGGTTATACTCAATCAGAGTGATTGTATATAAGATATAATCTATAGCCACCCTATAAGCCTTTCTTATAACTACTATTTCTTTTTTTATTTCTTTAAGTTGTTAGATCAATAATATATCCTTATTATTACCAGAAAAATACAATTAGATCGAATAAGCATCGCTACCAATACTCTACAGGAATTGATCAATAGTTTCACCGAATTAATCTTAAATCGCACTATAGATATTCCGCTCTCCCCTTGGGATAGATGTTCTTTTTATTGAAATTATAGTGATATCGATAATTGTTTAATTAAGAAATAGTTAATAGATTGTTTTATATAAGGGAATGAAAAGAATTGTTAAAATAGATAATAACAATAAATCAATTAGGTGTAATATAGTACAAAGACTTTTTATTAATCCTTTTAAACTATAAAAATTCTATAATTTATAATTATACACGGGTTGGCATCGGCCCGAAGTAGCCCCGCAGGGGCTATTCACATGCCCTCACTAGCCCTTATACGGATTGATTGTAACAGGATATAGCTATAGGAGTAAGAAGGATAATATAATAAAGAAATAAAAGAAAAATTATAATTTAAAAATCTATCAAAATTATTATAATAATTCTAATCTCTCAATTATCGAAAATATCTAGCAAATCCTAAAACAAATTATTTAAAAATATACCCATTAGAACGATATAACCATATGGAAGTTTATAAATAAAAATTAGAAGCAAGTTATTATTGAATATATCAATAAACTAATAGATACTATATCTCAAAGGCTTAGGAATATTATTAAAATAAAAGGACAGTTTACTAAATAATAAAAAGGTAATCAAAAGGATGGTTTTTAAAGTAGTTTTCTCTTCAAAATAATTCACTTTTAGAGGGAATTAAATTACAATATTATCTTATATCAATTATATAATTATATTACTTAAAACAATATCCTATATAGTATTGATATTAATTTTTTTATTTTATACTGAATCTTAAAGCTCTAAATATAACGAATTTAAAAGTTTCTATCAATAAAAGCGAATCGATTTTTTATAATGAATTATTCTACAAATATTGTATTTAGAATTATAAAACTTATATAGAATTAATTTCTGATATCGAATTAATAAAATTATCATATTATTTTTATTATAAATATAAAAAGTAATGATATTAAATTAATTGAAAAAGAAGTGTTGTTTTATTGAATAAGAATTACGAATTTGTGTATGCCATTTTTCCTATTACCCGCGAGCCAGCCAGCATGTAGACGTATCATGCTTTTCAAGAAACCTCTATGGTGATCTTAAATTTGGATTGGAAGGTCCCTCGCATCACTCTGAAATCCTTATTGTGATGCAAGGAGGAGATGGGGGTTTTCAAAATTACATAGGACCCCGGTACATCATCTCGCAATCTATATGACCGATCCATCGATATCCCATGGTAGAATAAACCTCTTACCTCTCTTACTTCTCCTCACTCTGCATCGCAATACCGAGAGATAGGGACATAATTCTGATTGCATCCAGGATGCTAGGTATCATCAAGATACATTCCGATACAAAGCTCTGTGTAGGTCATTCATGAGGTCTTAAACTTCAGAAGCCCCGAGGCTTCATATTTCAATACAATGTGCCGCTCAGATTTAGAGAGTCTAGAAATACAAAGCTAATGGACGAATGCGCCTCTACAATGCTGTCCTCGCTTAGTATTTCTTCCGCTCTTTTACTATATCTGATTAAACACGAGGTGAGTTGTGGTAGACTGCATAACGGCATACCTAGGTACATCTCAACTTCCATATGGTATAAAAATGGATCATCTGTCCCTCGGCGCTCCGCTGTTATTTTGAGCATCTCTTCCATTCCGGTCACCACAAACTTATAAAAGTAAGCCTAAAACATAAGCGACGATCTGAACAAGTTTATCATGCATTCGATTGGAAGTGCAATGAAGCTTCAATTCTTGTTGTCAAGAGAAGATTGGAATGAATCTATTTTCTCATCACTCCAGCTGGCAGGCATTATTTTAGTATGCCCAGCGAAGCATGTGTATCTTTGCTGTTGAGAAAAACTTAGTGATTTGACTATCGACTCACGCTGTCATGTCAGTTCATATCGATCAACTCATCTTCTCGAGCCTCTCACTTGGAGATGCAGAGTCTTACACCAGAACCAACATCTTTGTCCACAGACCAGACAGAACTTCTTTGAAATTGAAGCCTAAGCTCACATCTTTCAACCACATCCCTTCAGGATTGAAGGCTATCTGTACATCGCTCAGTGAACAATCATAAGCATCCCATATAGAACCTTGATTGATAACCCTGGATCCTCAATAATTGGCATCCATGCCATAAGACCGACAAAAAGTCTTTCAGTAGAGATCTCAGGTTGTAGAATATGAGCCATCGTGTCTCAGAATTCGCTGGGAATCTACTTTGACACAAAATTAGTCACATTTTATCTATTGGGTATTCGAAACAAGACGTTTGATGATGTTAGTTGACAAGTGACCCTAGATTGCTATTATCTAGTACCTATCTCCTTGACGATGGATGAGATTACATCAAAAATTCACATTGAATTGAAGTTTGATGAAAGATATCCTCATATGATTAGATGAGGCTGTCCGATTTCAGGATCTCTTTGTACATTTAGACGTGTATTAGCTAAAGCAAATGCTTATCGTAATCTAATTACATGCACAACGTGCCGATATTGTAGTGAATTTCATTCATTCAGCTGAAGTATTCCAAGGGATGCTTCAACTAATTGCTGGAAGTGGCAAGGAAGAAACCCTTCTACCATGTAAATATACCCCACAACCTTGAATATCCTCCATTTTGCCTTAGAGAGCCTCCACTTCTATAACGGGCTCTTGATTTAATCATCGAAGTCAAACTTTCCACTTGACTGATCTGCCGAATCAATGCCACCGTCGTCATAGTCGTCATAGTCGTCAGAAAAAACTGCATTGCCGCTAACGTCCTCCTCGGTCTTAAATTCGGAGGTGGTCTTCTTATCTACCTTGTTCTTCTTCTTAGCAACACCTAGAAAGCCAATTCTTAGTATGTTAATGATGCAGCGCTAGGATTAGATGGTCACATGCCTTCGTCTTTACCCTCAAGCTCTGCCTTGCGCTTCTTTAAACTACCCTTAGCGACGCCTTCACCCTTCGCTAAAGATACTTATTAGTGATCTAATCATGATTTACGAGCTGGGGATGAGCTAAACGTACCATTTCCCTTCTTAACACTGGCATGAGACTTCTTGAGTGCTTCCCAAATGTGTCTGACAGCCTTTTCGGTGCGGCCCGGAGCCTCAATGGTCTTGAAGTTAGGAACAAAGCTCTTGCCAGCAGCTTGAAAGAGAATCTGGACTACAATTGCATCCTGTGTTTCAATTAGTCGTTTCGCCAGATGCTAGGAAAGCGATCGTACTTTTTCGGCTTGGGTCCATTGTTTGCCGGAAGAAATCCTGTTGCTGGAAGCCTTGACCTTCTTATTGGCCTTTCCCTTAGCGGTGGGGGCAGCTGGTGCAGCTTCAGCAGCTAGTTGGGGAGTCTCATTGACGGCGGACATTGTTTCAATTGGAATTGGTGCTTGTTATGATTTGATTGTAGAAGTAGTAGCTAGAGATTATTAGCAAAGTAATGTATGACAAGGAGTTGTACATTATTAGGCTTTAAATGTATGTGGAGACCTAAATATACAAGAGGCTCTTGTAAATTCATAACACTTGAATGTACACAAAGCTGTTGTACATTGTATTGATTTGCATGTTTCTAAAGCTTCTGTATATTTCCAAGACTTGAATGTCTGAAATTATGAGAATGTACAATAGACTGTTGGAGAATAGAGGTACTTAAATGAGAAATGAGATGCAGGGAACTGGTGTGATTTGTCCGATTTAAATCACAAGACAAGGCCGTGATAGCAACGACTTGATCACACACAAGCTCTTGTACATTTTAATGACCTGACTGTGCAAGTAAAATCATTGTAAACGAAAATACTTGCCACGTCGAGGAAGATGTTATAGATTGTTATATAGGAATGAGATGGGATGGATCAGTGTTGATCAACTTCGACCGAAGCAGACCGAGATCAACCTGCCAAATGGTAAAAGTAACATCAAGTAAGGTAAATCTTTCGCGCTCTAGCAATGAAGGACTTTTTTTTTTTTAAATAAAGACATGCAAAAGGGATATGGCTTACCAAGGTACAATGTATGATGATCTATGAACTTGGTTGATAAATATGCGAACTTGGGAAATTGTTGTTTGGGGATGGGGAAAGTTGGAAGAATTGGGCGCGAGGAATACTGATGTATCCCGGAAGTAGTTGTGCGGGGTAACGTACGATCTGGGTGCTTTGTTATGAAGTGAATATAGGCGAGAGTGTCGTGACCGGTCTGGGTTGCTAGGACGTTGTCTAATCAGGAGGCTAGGTATTGGCCTTCGAGGCGAAACTGGAAGTGTAGTAAGAGATAAGGGGTACGTAGTTTGACTTATTAAACAGGGGGTATCATGATATATAATCCCTCGATGACTAGCCGGCGTGCAAGGAGTGGTATTGGGTGATGCTTTGTGTTGGTGACTTATTAAATACTATGTAATGTCACTTCAACTACTTTAGCTTTCTAGAAACGACCAGCAGCTAAGACATTTGTCTTTTTATTTAGAAAGTTATAAATTGCATGCATGTAAGGCTTCACAATCATTAAAAATATATTTTCGCCTTGCTATTCTCCTACCTACCTCCACCAGCTAGATCCTGAGCATCTGTCCCTATCTAATGGGACATTTTGCCCTACTCAAGAGTCACCTACCAGGCTCCCACCGCACAAGAGCATATAAAAGCCATGCCCTATGCTCTAACATGAACTTTAGATAATTCTATGATACTATGATGCCTCGTTCTATCTTGATCGGTCTGCCAAGTAGATTTAGACAACCACCCCGAGCTCTATTATCATTCCTAAAGCTTCAACTTGCACCTTCGAAGCTTCCAGACCTACAAGAATCTGCGAGCACATTGTGCTAGATCTTCAGGAAGTACCACTAACACCCCAATACTTATCGAAACGCACGGCACTATCTGCGATCTAACACACTCCATCTCACAGTCAACTCAGATCTCAAGGCTGTTGAGAAATAAGATGTTTGCTCAAAACTTACCTGGCTACTCAACACTCCCAACACTGTGCCAAATCTTTGCACAAATCTACAGTAGTAATACAAGACTATTAGTCGCCAGTCTCACCCTCTCTACTAGGTACTCTATCTATTCTACTGGATTGCTTCTGAGAATGAGAATCCATTTTCTCGACAAGAACGCACTCTACATCCCTGGAAACATATGAGATTACCTATCCAACAAAAAACCATTTATAATTTGAATTACTTTTACAAAGTTAGAGCATAGCTAGAAACATAACCTATATCATGCGAATCTTTATTCTAATACTATCAAAGACTATCAACTCGTTTTGAGAATCCTTACTACTTCGAGACTGTGCGGGGGCTTGAAAGAAGAACCTGCGTTTGTCTTGTAAACTGTACGAAACTTAATAGGAATCACAAGATGGCAATTTGAGACAATTTTTCTATTAAAAAACTTTGGGTACATTCAGCTACCTACCCACGCATTCTTTTTTAGACGAAAACATGGGCAGTCTAGAAAAAGTTTCCTCTCCATTATATTTTACCTACCCAAAACTTCTGCGGCCAGGATTCAATACAGCTTCTACACTATCGGATCAAAAAAATTACTAAGCGAAGATGAATTTTAACCTCTTACTGACGGTGATTTTGTTCCGCAGATTATGTAGCGCTCCCTCCTTGCGGTCGGCCGGCTACAGCAACCCTTCGATTTTGCTCGACTCCCTCTCTGCCAAATTACAACAGCAGTCTATCATATTCTGACGGAAAAATGGCTATGGAGATGCTAGATTAAGTCTCGCACCACATCACCGAAAAACCTCTCAGACGGCCTTTTCAAAGCTTACAAACCCCTCTGGGAAGATTTTACTAACATGACACCAACAGATGCGACAAGCGCATACGCTTCCCTGTTTCTTCAGCTACAAAAAATGCACAGGTACCAAGCTCCTGCAGATCCGCGACGAACCCCCCTCCCTTACCAGCCGTTTATTTTTCTCGAAACTTTCCGCACACAGTTGAAGTTCGATAATTTACAGCAACTCAAAGTCTGAAACTACATATTGGCATGATACCATTGCGATGCGAGCCTCTCAGGCATTTTTTGGACCAATTCTATCTTTGCGGAACGAAATACTAGGCATTTGACTTCAATCACTCAGCAGACAGCCTGGCGCCTTTTTTGTTTCTCCGCAGATTAAGATAAAGGTCTCTACATTCATGTCACAACTCCATATCTCAAGGGTCTTCAAATGAGCGCAAGTAATTGAATTGAGACACGAAAACTCAAAGCCCACACGTAGGCCGGTCTCATTATTCGACCTGATACACGTCTCGTTGTTGCATTGAGAATGAATTTCTCATTTTCTTATACAAAAATTTCCATCCGACAAACCAACTCAGAAAGGAACAATAGAATGGCGGATGATGAGATGATGAGATGTTTTCGTTACTGGTTAGCTGACGTGCCAATATTCAAAGAGGCAAAAAGCGTATAAATGGGTATCTCTGAGGAGAAGTTAGATCTGAGCAACTTCAGTAACTACATTGTCCATTTTGTGGCGGCGCATTACAGGATGATGATAGTGATGGCAATTGGGTATTCTTTAGGCATTGTGTAGTAGAAATGCGAGATATTCAAGTCATGATTAAAACTATTATAAAGTGTTCCAAATTCTGTACACATCGAGTCTCCTAAACGTAGGCTGTCGTGAACATTTGACTACCGTAGCTTTGACCATTTCCGTTGAGCGAACTATCTAGATTGAAAAATTGATCACAAGCACAGAAGGAAGAGTACGCCCAATGAGCGAAAGAGCTTTTGCTACTCCAGTGCCTTGTTGCATATCGTAAAGCGGTAAGGCTATTCTCAAGACCAACAGACCTAACAAAAAGAAGTGACCTCCAATGAGAAGTGGAGCTTTTGCCATCCCAGGCTCTTGTTGCATGTCGTAAAATGGTGAGGCTACTCACTGAAGTTCATAGATCTGGCAGAAAGAGACACCCATCCAATAAGAGAGAAAGCTCCTGCTAATGAGTCCTCTTGTTGCACATCGCAAAGCGATAGGCTGATCGGCGGTAGCCTTGCAAAGGGCAGAACCAATCGATGGCTAATAGGGAGATGTTCTGGCATCCTTCTTTCTTATGTTGCACGTCTTAAAGCGGTGCGGCTGTACGCGGCTCATATCTCAGCCGGCAGAAAGAAGGAGGAGTAATGGAGCACTCTATGGTACATTAATATGTCTGAAACACCTAGTATGCTTCAAGAAGCTCTTGGGGTCACTCGGGAAGGATACAAATAAACTTTCACTTCGATCACTGACTGGTATACAGCTTCACACTTTGATATTCGGTTTCTGGAGACATTGAAAGACTTCTGAGAATAACTGCCATCAACTTCCTCCTCTCTCCATAATTTTACCATTCCAGATCAGTGAAATTCCGCATTTAATAATTCAAATCCCAAGTTACAGAGGCATTAAACTTTTCAGAAAGAGCGCCACAGTCTATACTTTCCATGTATCTGTGAAATGAAGCTACATCACATAATCTAATCGTAAAATACGTTTATTCAATATCAGCCATCTCAGCTCTAGCTGGTGACACTGATGAATGCTACTAAGTCTTACCGTCTGTAGCCGACCACATCATGCTTTACATGCAGCTCAGTTTTCTTATTGGTCTACGCAGACTGTGTTTGCAATTGTTGCACATCTGAATTTAAGCGACTCAATGCAGCCACTTAAAGATACCTATTATTTGGTTACTTGACCGAGAATCAAAGTTTTGGTCCATCCGAGCATTCGTATCCCAAGTTTGTGCGTAAATTATGGAAAACTTCCTCCAACTTACAGAATTCACAAACGCGTTCATGGCGTATCCCCAACAGGTGATCCAGACTACTAGTTTACCTTTATGGTATTCAAATGTTTTTTGAAATCATCATGATCAATAGAGATTTCCTTTCATGAACGACTTAATTATCATGGAGCTGAAAACTCTCTCCTTAGCTGGGTTAAATTGCTTTTCTTCAACTTCGAGATCATTTTTCACGATTTAGATTCTTGTGGCTGTAGCTAACTCAAATCTCTCCTTAGGCTCATCAGGAATCTTGCATCGATCAAGAATCGCGTTATTATCTCCTTCGAACGGTACTACGAAAAGCATTTATACGTTGGTGAGGGTGCGGCGTCTTGGAAGACACACAATGGAACGAAGTACTTGAAATGGAAACACTGATACGATGAAGACCGAGCGTACTTGCGATTCACAACTGGAAAGGCAATATAAAAAACCGGATGGAAAATATTATTATACAACGGGGTTGGAGCTTTGGGATGGAGTGGGTGCCGAGCTTCTTGGGCTGCGCATCGAGATAAATCACACGGACATTATCACGACTATACATAGGCCCAACGACGGCGTCACTTCCTACCGCTTCAGCAGAATAATCTATGATACACTTCTCTCAAGTCATTGAGCCATGAATGTATACTACGAGCCACTTTTGAGTTCAAATATATTCAAGGCTTGGAGTTTCCGCTCTAAGCCCTATGCTGCCACCAGCTTTAAAGTCGAGATCGAAGAAGCATCTGATCAAAGATGACCATCGATAAGGGTTTCTAGAGGTTTGAAGAAAATTTCTCTCAACGCCCCTCTTATCCTCAGGTCTGGTTCTTCACTTCACATTTCATATACAATGTTCTTAAGGCTTTAGATATCGGGGTTTCCAAAAATGTTGACAAAACATTCTCCAGGTATGAAACATACCCCATCCAGACAATTGACTACAAATTCTGGAACCAGTTTGGCATTCCTAATGGATAGAAACAAGATATGCATACAAATTGGACTGTCTCAAAGTCTAAGAAGTCCAAGAGGTTAAGCGAGTGGGCCCCTGAGCCTTACACCATCCACATTCATGCATACCATGCAGGTGATACTCTGTGTACCCAGGTACTCTGTATCAAAAACTATAATAATAAAAAAGTGCACAATACAAAAGGATGTGGGATTTGGAAATATGTCAGATGGTTTTACCCTTTGGAAATAGAAATCTCTGACTGACCATAATCTTAATCAGAAATTTGAGTAAGTCACGAGTGTGACACGTGCAAGAAAGACTTACACTCATGAAAGTTAACAAGACAAGTTGAACTTTGTTCACCCAGGCTCAAGAACCTATGGACAATAGACTGACAAAAAACAGGTATAGACTTAGCCTGTCTTGAGTAAGACTTGCTAATAGTTTGGAAAGACGCAGAAATTACTGAGTTCACTGATAAGGTGGTAAAAGTTGGAGAGCCATCCCTATGGCTGGACATGGACAGATGAGTTATTTCGTTTATTTCTCAACAAAATGAGACAACTTCTCATGCTTCTGAGCTTTGCCTTCTCACACCTTATCCCAGTCCTTTCTGACTTGCTGATTCTTAGCAATTTTCAAGAAATATATTCTATAGGGACGCTTTCACACATTCTCTTTGTTGATTGCACTTGCTGAGAATGAGAATCTTGAAGAGATCATCAAGGATTTTGAAGATTCTTTGATGCTATGCTATGCTTGCATTCATGAATTCAGAGTCAGGTCTGACTTTTCAACTCTAGAACCTGTTTATTCAACTATCCTCATGAACCAACAGAGGTTGATTTTGTCAGGTTTACAGTGGTTCTTGTTTACTATCCTGTCTTCAAGCTCGGGCCTCTCTGCAACCTTACCCTTTCAACCAACCAGCATTGATTCTTGTGACTTTCACGGGACTTCGGGACCACTTCGGATTTTGCAGAATTTTGTTGCACATCAGAAATAGTTGATTTTCGAATTTTACTCAACTTTTCCTCAAAAAAGCTTCAGGGAGCTTTTTTGTAAGAAAAGTTGAAACCACAACGAAAATGAAAAAGTTGTCGTTTGGGACAATTCTTGGATAGTGGGAATAGTTAGTCTTGGGAAACTTGGAAATGAAGTAAAAAAGTTGAAAAGTTAAATTTTGTACAAGTTATCAGTGATTGAGTATTTGGCTTTGGTGTGTTCACTTGATGTTGAGTTAAAACCACCCTTCTCAGTCCAAGAACTATTTTAGCCACAATTATTACTCTAGATGTCTCTGAAGAGCTTATTATAAGAAATTAGGAGTTTCTAGATGGTTCGGGCTAAAAACCAATGGAAGGTGCACATAATGAAAGCTCATATGTCTGGATCGCAAGTGATGAGAGTCTGGGGGTTTCACGTGTAGTTCATGAATGCCTCAAAAGATCAAACCACCAAAAAAACAACTTTATTTTCGGAAATGAAGGTGGATTCCTTATGGAATCATATCTTCTCAGTAAGCTCTTCAATATAAGTAATGTGGCAAATCTTCCTGCTTTGCTACAACCAGATGAAGTTGTCATTTTAGGATTGTGTACTTTTGTGAGGGCTGTGATGAAAGGCTTTCTTTGAATTTGTGTGTAATCTAGAATCTACTCAACTTTCCTCAATATCAACTTACCCGGATGGTTTTTGCTCTATTTAAGCATATGAGACACACGCAACTCTACGGCGAAGGTTGAATTTCAAAAAAAGAGAGGTCGAGTTGCTTTTTACTTCAAAGTATACCCCTACCCTGATAGTATCCGGACGGCCACACGCTCTCCCATAAGATCTTCGGTTACGAAATACATTCCTACAGTACACACCATTCTGTCTCACGAGGCTCCCTACGATCAATACAGACGCATCGGATAAATGTGCTTCCTGTCTGCTCGATCAGATGACGCAAAGTATGCTGGCTCAGTCAGATCAACTATTCCAGACAATTGGAGTGGTTCAAGAGAATGGATACTTCATTCTTTTGAAGGAAATCTCGGACTCTATTTGGTGAAGGGAATTTCTCGATAGCTTAGGGTAGATCGCTTGCCCATAACTCACAGCAAATCAGACGGACCACTACAGGTTTCAGCTATGCTCCTTTAGCCAAATTATGTATCAAAATGACCTAAATTTTCGCACATCTCCACTAATTGCTGTGATCTGAATCAATTCTTTACCGTATGATAACAATAATAGTGTGAGGAGCATCGAAGTTAGGGGAGGTGGTCAAGTCGCTCATATACCAAAGCTACGGATACAAATTGGGGGAGTTAGTTTTCAGGAAATGATCCTGGTGCGCTACTTGTACCCGCCTTTATGTGACTAAACAAACATGACGTAAACTCAGTAAGCATGTATGAGTATTCTTGCGGTCTCATTGTGCCTCATCATGGGTAGCTTTTAAGGTCATGACTAGAAATTGCTGTAGCCAATTCAGGATCTTGTGTACCCTTCCAAAATCGTATGTCAGAATTGCTCAAATTCAGCGATGCATGCAGAGTCTTCGCGCTCATAATCAAACAGAAGTTCTAACAGGCGCGGGATGTACCAAGGAAGTCGCTGCATATCCAGAACCCGAGTCCGTTACTGATCTCTTTGGACGCTTCGTAACTTTCCTCTTCTCCAACCAGAAAGTTCGAGCAATTCATGCTCGTCAATGCAAGTTCGGCATGTGAGATACCGTGAGTCCCTCATTCCGTCAAATTATTATCTATACCACCAAATTATCTCGCATATTTCGGATCAGTCTCCTGGGACCGTCTATTAGAAATACATGGACGAGAACTTTTCCTTCACGAGTACCATGCCAAAGTTACTGGAAGACCAACTTTTACACTTAGGAACAACACAATCAACTTCTTTAAGATGTAGTATATCTTCACTACCAGATATGAGCACATGAAGTCTAGAATCGAAATCTTCGACAATCATGTTCAAATGCTGATCTTCCGCAACTTGGTCTGAGATATCGCAGTGAGTCACTTCCGAATATTACATTCATTTACAAATTTGAACAGGATTTGTTCAATACCAATAAAAGTAAAAAGGCGAGAGTGCAGCATTTGAAACATACGTATCATATGTCTCATTTAAATCATCTGCCATTCCATTCCGCGTTTACGATCGATCAATTTTGGAGTACAGAGCTGAGGTCCGGAATACTCACTTCGTCATATCTCAATTGGATATTCTCCATGGAGAAAACAAAAGCCGGGAAGATATCGATATTGAGAAAATTTCCAAGAATGACAAGGAGAGTAGAAATTTTTTTGGCATGCATGTGATGTGGACTGAGAATCGGACAGCTGACACGACTCCTGAGTAACATCCTCGTTTTCTCTTTTATGTAACTTATGAACTCATCAACTCATCATCTCATCAAGATTCAGAAACCATAGCATAAGCGTAATCCGAGATATCTCGCGAATTAGTGTTACAATTTAGGCTCTTGTCACAAACGTGGGCGTCTCCAAAACGCTGTGAATTTCCGTGAAAAGAGGCTGAAAAGAGAAAGCGGATAGAAAAAAACCTGCCGATCTCAAAAATAATATGCAAAGAGCCACAAAGATACCCATCAACGTTTCCAGCTACCCAATAAGCTCGAAAGTTTCTGTATGTTATCACAATTGCGGAAAGATGCGGATATACGAAAATGTCGGGGAAGCTGCATGCATGATGCAAGTATGAATCCGAACCCCGCCTCAAGAACTTTTCAGCAAGTACGAATGTAAATTTGGAGAACGCTATTAGTGGAATCTTACCGAAAATTATCAATCTAGAATATTAAAGATTCACGTCACAGATCATAGAGAAGTCAAGTTGAGAGAAGGTATTCCATTAAGTAAACAAGGCAATTTATGCCAGAAGGATGAAGTCTACAGGAAATGACGAGGGTGATGTCACCATCTCTCTATCTATCTACAGTGCTCGGGTCTTGCTGCTGCTGCCAATCTATACCAATCCAAAAAACATGAATACAAAATAACCACCGTGCCAAAATTCCTCCCATACCAAGCCTATGTCGAGTTGAACGTGTTGTGAATTTTGAAAGAAGCATGTCGGTGGAACAAGTGATTGTTCCTGGCGCAGTTGAGTTGTGCTTTTCTTGCCATGTTGATGGTTACGTGAATTGTCGTTTTGATTGAGGTGTTGATTGATGTTGTGATTGTCGTTTCGTTTGAAGTTCTTGTTGAGGGTGGGTGACTGTTACGTCAAATTGAGTATTCGTTGAGAGCCGTAGTTCGGGCTCGTCAATTTACGAATAAGGGCACCGACATGCCAAGGAGGTCCTCCAAGCGAATTCCAATCCATCTACCAAACCCATCTACCAATACCGCCAAATGCGTCCATCCCAGCAGCACATCCCCCGCAGCAAACAGCAAACCCCCAAGTAAGCAACGACACCATCTTCGTAGCAAACCCTATCGGGACGCTAACTACCAGAACCAGCGTAGCATGAGTGCTTTTCATCAATCGTCCTGAACAGCGAATCAATACTAAATCGTCAGTGTAAGTACCCAAAACAACGGTGCAAGTCCTCTCTAACGGATCAGAACGAACAGGCGGTGCAACACCAACGAGATCCGAAGACCCTGAAGGTACTGTCCTACCCGGCCGCCCAGTCACCGCTGACTTAGTAACACGAAAGGCATCACGTCCCGCCCACGACCCCGGCGCAGCATAGCAAACTCCGTAGAGAAAGCCACCTGAACCCAAGGTATCACTGGGAAGTAAGATAAACCAATCAGAAAACCTGCTTCAGACCGAAGTCTTCCACAAGCCCCCTTGAAACTTCGCCACTGAGTTTTCTCACTACTGCCTCAGCATCAACTGAAATGCTATCGAGGAATCTCTAGAAGCCTCGTCAAGGAACCCCGAAGGGTCCTATCAGAAGACCTCACGCTACTCCAGTCGAGAAATCCGCGGAGAAGTTCGGTGAACCACCCGAAGGCAGCTCGTTGAACGACTCGTTAGACTCTCAGTCGGTGCAGCAAGAAGAACAATCAGAAATCGCAAAGAAGCTCGGCGAATCACCCGAAGGCGACTCTATGAGCAACTCTGGAAATCAACATGAACTTCACCTGAGAAACCTCAGTCCCAGTACAGAGAAAATCTCATCAAGGAACCCGAAGGAACCCGTCAGAGATCTCTACCGCCCCAGTCGAGATCTCATGAGAGGTTCGGTGAGTCACCCGAAGGCGACTCGTTGAACAACTCGTCGAGAAACTCAGTCGGTTTGGCAAGAGGAAACCATTAGAACTCGCAGAGCCGCTCTGTGAGTCACCCGAAGGCGACTCGGCGAACAACTCATTGAGCCCACAGGAAACCTCATCTGAACTTTCGACCATCAGAAGACCGAACAACAGGTCAAAACGCAAGTTCACCATCCCCGCCTCAGCATCACCGAAGTGACCGAACAACGGATCATAGGATCTCTTCCAAGCCTAGGACCAGCGTCTCCTTCCATCCGCCGACAACCTCAAGAGGAACCTATCAGAGTCCCCCGAAGGAGTCTCAACAAGGCCCTCAAACGAGATCGCCAACTTCAAAAATTCGAGACCAATCTTCGGACATGGAAGTTACCCGCAAGAATCTTCCACCAAACAACACCTCCCCACAAGCAGTACCCCTCCCTGGGCATCGCTGCAGCAGTTCAGCGCCGAAAGGCAGGTCGGAACGAAACAAGACGAAGAGCCGGCTACTCCGGTACGACACAGGTCGTTCACCATCAATGCAGTAACAAATCCCGCGCCAGAAAAACTTATGAATTGAAACTTAACCTCTAGGGTGTTTCCACACCTAGACAGTAGCACAATTTAAGAGTCCCCGTCAACGAAAAATGCCATAAGAACCACGTCACCAAAGCTCGTTGCTTTTTAACAGGACGGACAATGCCTCAGCGCCGACACGACTCCGCACATCGATTGGCCGAACAACACGAACAGACTAGTCTGCTGCCCTAATTTCGTCTCAGTGCCCGGTGGTTGAACAACGAAATCCCCGAGTGGACTGAGAAGTGAAGCCTCAGCACGTCCATTTGTATACCCCCAGGGGCAGGTAGACGCCGAACAACTCCACTGCAGCTACACCCACAGTAGAACCCGCGAAGGTAAAACTGGAAATGGTGGATAGAAAGGTAACTACCAATTAGCTTCTCAAAGCCCCCGCGCAGAACAATGACACAAGACTTTCACCCACGCCATGCTTTCTACCTTCACTGGAAATGCCAGGTGGAAGTGACTGAACTTAAAAGATAGGATTCTCCCAATCCGGGAAGAGTTGCTGAGACCGCGCTTTGGACTCATGACATGCATCATCGCTAGGAGAAGACTTACGCTGCGCAACGGAGTGGGTATACCTGAGGGTGTGCCTTCGGAATTCTCCTCATACAGACAATATACACTATACCCACATCACTCCGTTACTCCGAGAACAAAGTAGGTGGAAATATCTGCAACCAGTATCCAGGTATACAGTATCTGACTAAAACAGCAAGCGCCCTCAGAAGACATGACAACAATCAGGAACTAAATCTAACCCCATGAGGTGTCTCCACACTCAGGCAGTGACCAGTCCAGGAAAGTTGTTGGATATGCAGTATCTTCTTCATTGGGCAAGACCTTACTATTCACCATAAATCACCGTGTTCTGGGTAGCTTTCCATATTGCTCAGCAATGCCATCAACAACTCTTGCAGGCAGTTTTGATGAGCTTCGCGTTATATCTTGCCGCGGTGGCAAGACACATTGCCAAACTCCTGCCTGCACCAACTGAATGTTTAGTGGAGATCAATAACGGCATCATCGTCCAGAAGAAAATCCAAGCGTCAAAATGACCTAGTACCCGGCAAGCCGCACAGCCAGGGATTGCTCTCCCAACCATGTGAGGGCTCCTCATAGAACATGAGTCCAGCTAGAAACTTGGAAAGCTCACTAGTATTCCTGCAAGCCGCACCGTCAAAGACGATACGGTCCTCATGAGAGATGCAAGCATCTACAATCAAGAGTCAGGCTAGGATCTCGTTGATCGGGACAGCTGTCACACGATCCAAGATCTTCCTTTCTCCGCACGTTATCTCCCTACCACTATCAGCCCGTACAAATGATCAAAGTTCTATAAGGTACTGTCGAGCATCGTCGCATACGATAAAACGGGATTTATCGCACACTCAGCAAGCCAACACCAGTAGTTCTAAGATCAAATGCGATAGACGTGGATCATGCTAACGTAATGGATGGAGCTATGTGCATTGGAGTATGATGTTGGATGATTATTGAAGCCCATAGAAAGTTAGAATGTGAGAGTTGAGTTGAAGATCTGTTTCCCTTGCGCCTGTGATATTATGAGGAGGTTCCACGAAGGGTCTGCGCTTTCAAATATCAATAGGTCACAAGTAACAACCAAGGTACGGTTTTTCCCCCAAAGCCCACAAGATCAAGCCCGCAACACACGATGTTTCGTTAGAATTAGAGATCGAGAAATTAAGTTCCGAAGAACAAAAAATCGTAGCCAACACCCACAAAAGCCGACACCCCACAAAAGCCAAAGTCCCCACAATGATCTCTAATTCACGGAAATAAAGTGCTAATGTTGCGAGCAGATCTGAACCATCGGTTCATAAAGCCAACGCCCACACAGATCTTCAATTCATCACAAACTTACGATCAAGAAACAACAAAGACACAAACAGAATCATAAGCCGCATACACGTCGCTGGCCGTCACTTGGCTCAACCATCACCATCGAGCGTCAACGTACACTTACGCAAGTCAGTGAAATGAATACCGATATGGCTTTCAGGGAATAATCCCATCCGACCATATTTTCTTGCATTTCTCTCTACAGGTAAAACCAATGCGGTAAGACACGGCTTTCTGTAATGATGAGATTCGGAGCTTGTGGCTGTACGGTTTACTTGCATCGAAACCTGCTGTGATACAGTCGTACTGGAAGCGTTCGCAGAGTAGCAGCCCTTTAAAATACTGTACGGTTTACTTGCACCACGATAAATCGTGGAACAGTCGTACTGGAAGTATTCATAGAACAGAAGTCTTTGGACACTGTACGGTTTACTTGCATCACAACGAGTTTTGAAACAGTTGTACTGGAAGCGCTCGCAGAGTAGCAGCCCTTTAAAATACTGTACGGTTTACTTGTACCACGATAAATCGTGGAACAGTTGTACTGGAAGTATTCATAGAACAGAAGTCTTTGAAACACACAAGCTCTTATGCTCAACTGAAATAACGTTTTAGTGAACTCGGCAAGCTGGCTTGCTATACGAAAGTTTCCCCACTGTAGATGAAACTTTGTACGGCTTGGGGTATCAGCATCGTGTTATTTTTGTTAGGGAATGGGGGACAGGGGGAGGAGCACTGAGCAACTTACTATTGAAATGCGGGGAGCAACTGTACGCTGCTCCCAAGATAGACGGATCTAAGAAGTTCAACAAACCCATACATACTGAATAACCAGCCACCGAATAGTTGGCAAGTAATGAGCTTCCGTCGCCGATAGAACCTACTCGCGACCCAACACCAAATCTCTCTTACACCACCGAAATGGGGGCAAACACGTCAGAAATAGCAATCTCCACTGGACATTCAGATTGGCTACTAAGCCGCTCTAGCTACAAGTTCCAGTAGTCTTGTCCCGAAAGGGAATGCTACTCAGATGGCGCGTGCTACTCAGCACATGACCAATCCACACACAGAAAACACGAGCACAAACTATCTAAATACAAAAAAGAAAAGCGTTGTCGAAGACGATTGTCGAGGACAATTGTCGAGAAAGGTGATCGGAGAGCTCTGCTTCGAGGGCTGTGGCTGTCATTGAAAGTGGAGGAAACAATCAAGTTTGGTTTGAATCGAATTGTCAATATTGAATTGATGGTATTGATATCTTGAGATAGATTATCAACATTGATTCGTTGACAGTGAGGTGTAATTGACTCAGCCCTCGAAACAGGCGTAAGATGAGGAGTGACCTCAGAATTGTTCCCTTGACAGTTGTTGAAACATGGATTGAAGATGCAGGGAGGATGCAATACTTGAGAAGCAATGGCTGTGTGAAGTAGAGATACTTTAGCCAAGTGCATCAGACAATTCTGAGGGCGTGAGAGGTGACGGAGAGGTATCTTGTAAGGAGAATTCGAAGAAGAGAAACTCTGCATTCTTGCATGAGATTGAATTGATGCTCGCAGATTTGATGAGACTCGATTCTTGAAGAAGATCCACCGCCAGGAGTCAAAGTGTTAGAGATCTATCATGATTCTCGTCATCACACTTCGCTCTTCTGACTTCCAAGTTACTATCACGTCTTATAATGTGTTAGCAACATGACTGAATTTTGAAGGAGATGTAGCATTACCAATTGAAGTAGACAGCGCCGAAGACTCGAGAGGTGCTGGAGGTATGTATGAACGAAGACGATTGAAAGACACGAGTGCGCCCTTTGCAGGATAGTATGAGACCACATTGAAGCTCACTTTTGTTCGCAGCAAGGTAGATGGTACGCATGGTGAAGAAAACACGTGAGTGAATCGAAAGATTGATTGGTCTCGTCATGGTGTGACAACTCCGCAGTCGAGTACGCCGAGGAACGAAACTGCGGCACGAAAGTCAGTAATTGAATAAGGATGATTCATTAAGAAAACTCACAGTACTTTTATGAACACAGAAGAAGAAGTGACGTCGGATCGAAGAAATACCTGATGGTGTTGTCGTGGATGAGTGTTTTGTTGACAAATTGAAGTATTTGCCAAAAGTCGTGTCGTGCGAACACTACAACATTGTGTGATAAGAACAATATTGGCTCATGGTTGTAATGAGAACTGCAAGAAGAAAGAAGCTTGCAGGCGTGGTTGGAAGAAAGGTTCCAAGAAAGGATGGAAAGTGTGATTTTTCTTTCCAGCAGATGGAGATCGTGAAGGTGATTCGAAGTTTTTTTTCGGAGGGCGCGCTTGAGATGAAAGGTTCCAAGAAAGGATGGAAGATATGATTATTCTCTAACAGACGAAGACTGTGAGGTGAATCGAAGGTCTTTCTTGGAAAAGCGCGCTTTGAGGAAGACTGCATGACAGGTGTCAGTATGGCACAAACAAATGATGCAGTAAGATCGAAGACTTATACCATAAGAACTATGTGAGAACACCTTGACTGATATCTAATGAGATAACAGACTTAATTGCATACTGACAAAAATGCCGATCTGCGGGTATGGCAGATTGGAGCATTTTTAACGGACGTCGACTACGAAAAAAAATGTCAGGAATCAAACGGAAATTCAGTGCATGTGTAGCAAGACTTACGTAGCAGTGTGAGATAGATGAGATCGATGATTGAGAACCGTTCTTCTTTGAAAGACTGTTGATCAACAGAAAAAGAGATACTGAAGGCTCATAGAGGTTGAGCACAATCGCGACGAGCCACTGAAAGTGACCCGCCGCGTTGTTTTCGATCTGAATGAAAAGACCAGAAAGATGTTTGTTATTGAAGAAGATCTTGAAGAAGGTATTGAAGAAGGTTATCAAACCAAAGAAAGGTTGAATTGAATTTGAGATTTGATGATATTTTGGTGGTTGAGGTGGGTTGGTTTGTGAGAGAGAAAGACGGGGAGATGGTTGCTATGCGAATGAGAGATATAGCACATGCCTCGCAACAGGATTTCAAATTTTCCACGCTAAGGATAAACAAGAGATGGCACCTGCCGCGAAAGTGAATTGTTCCCCCGCCTTGTGATGCTAGATTAGAGCAAGTTATTTTTTAATTGGCTATATTTACGTCGAGGTCCGAGGCATTCGGAATAGAGCGGCGTTCGTCATAGAGTATTTTCAAGTCCAAGATGCGGAAGTAATAATTGGATGTTACAGTTAGTACTTCTATTGTGTGTATTAGAACATACTGTGCACGTAGATATACAATATCAGAGCAAGCCATTCAACAGGAGCATGGAGAGAAGACTGGAAGGCAAAGTTATGTATCTTCAAACACACCCATAGAAGTAGAATATATCAAATGCCTCTTGTATTGATCTATCTATGTGACCTGCAACGCTTGAGAAAGTGAATTTTGTTATCTCCCAATCAAAAGAATTCCGCTTCATGCCCTCTCACTTTTCCATCTTCATTCCACTTCATTACTAGCCCATCGCTCTTGCTTCTTCCCTAACACTCCATCCACGTGATGTTTTAGTTTTAATTTACAAAATCAAGGCCACCCTTACATCATTGCAGTTTAATATTCATCCAAGAAAGGCACACGTAAAAGGGCAATAATCAATCACGAAATAGCAAACCTTTATCTATACCGAAACCCGAGGTTTCTGGTTATTCATTCACTCATTTTTTTTCGGTCAGTGGCGGAGCATATCAAGCATAGAGCCGGGTTTTATCGGGAAGTAGTCAATTCCCCGATTTGGACACTTGGAAATAGAGGTTGGGATCGAGATGACAGATATGATCTCGTCTACTTGACTGAAGAGCCAATTCACTCAAACCCTTTACCATACCAGAAAAGCACAGACTTACGGATAACAAGACAAACTAGAAGTTTCCAAATATATGACAAGATAGAATTAAGAAATTGAATCGAAACTTCGAGATCAATTTCCTTGAGAACCCCAAGCACACATGAAGCTCTGTGATAGCACATGATTGACAGGACTTGTATGCATCATTGCGGAACTTGGGATCTTGTATAGTGTAGCAACTTCTCTAAAAGTCAACTTTCTTCTACCTTTGTTGAAGAAGAGTTTGGCGAGAGCACTGAAAGTGTAGTCACAGCCTATTATACTTCGAGCCATTGCACATCCTGACACTGGTCATTACACTAGCAATGCTTCAGGAAGCCGGGTATGCTTTATTTCTATACTCAGCACAATGAACTGAGGAGCTTTGGGTACAAGTATATCCTCTACTCGAGGTGCAAAGTCGATCTTTAAGAGGGTCTGATTTGGAATCCGGAACCTGTCCTCGGGAGCAAACACTGGTCTGCGAACAAGGTTCAGCATAACAATCAAGATAGCTTTTATCACTTAACAGCGCTTCGTAGATAACTGCTGTTCGCCAGCTCTTGTCTGGCCGTATCTCCTCCTGCACATAAAATCTCGCCTCCTGAGTGACATGACTGGAGCACATCAAATAGCTCTCATCAACGAGAAAGTATGCAATTGATCCGCATTTCCAAGAGACATTGAACTTTCTTGTCAATCAGATTAATAAGATGTCTTGTATTTCACTCCATAATTAGTTCATGAAAGCGTTTTTTCAGCGACATTCTACGATTCTTCATTGACGTTGTGTAACAGATGAGGTTGGAATTTGGATGACAAAGCATCGTTCGTGCAGTGGGGCAATTCAGCCCCTGCAACGACAGGACGACAAACGACCGTGTCTCATTCCGTAGGTCGAGGAATACATCAAATGCGTCGACCGCGCTTGTTAAAAGTTGCATATCCGTTATGAGTAACAAGCAAAGAGGAGCACTTCTTATCTTACCTGACGCTGACGCTAGTGCGTGTGGTGTTTTCATCGGCTTACCAGTCTTTGCTCGCGAAATTAGAGGAACCTGCACAGCGTACGTTTGAAAGTCCTCAACAGTGTGAGAACTGGCTTAGGTGTTAGAGACTCAGTCTTTATCTTTTATTCGAATGTTTCGAGAAGTTGGGGGTACTGTTCCGCAATTGCACAATGTTAAAAGCATGCCAAGCTTCTAGATATCCGGGGAATCTGGGGTACCTAGCGTATTTCATTATTCATCACTGCATGTCAAAAGCTTCTTGTTCTATGTCATTTCCGTTACGTGTAAATGTATTTCTCACCGACTTTGATTTCTTCATTCTAGGGCTCTTTTATTATCAGATTTATCATGAAGGTGTAATATTGTAGTGTTGGGGTTTCATTTGACTTCGTGCCCTAATCCGAAACATTATGTATCTCCTACTTCAAAAACATGCCAAAACTTTATGGAACCCAAGAGCTTGTGGTTATCATGATCTTGAGTGTCAATTTTCAACGGGTCTTTTCCAAAAGTCTAATGGTTAAAAAATCTCATACCATTCTTCGAGACCTCTGAGCAGGTAACATCATCGCATTGCAAGAAGGCTTAATGTAGTGGGCATAGCTAGACTCATGAAAGTATTTTCGAGATCATGTTTTAATTCATAGCACAGTTATATTCGTCTTCCTACAAATGCATTATGACCCCATCGACGGAAAACTTCATGCAACTGATCATCAGTACGATCACGAGACCGATGAACTAGAGTAATTGAGCTTAGCGGTCATTGAACTAGAAAGAAAAGACAAACTAAATGGCCCACTAGCCAACTCTACATTGAAGAATGTGCCCAAGTGTGCAAAAACATAAGGACACCTCATTTCGCCCAATCAAATATGGATTTAGCAGCCTCACTAACTCTAGCTCACCATCTAGCTCACCCACAAACTCTAAATATCGATTTATTCTTGGGCTTAAACCTTTCATTCTCTCTCGAGAAATTCTCGTCCATTCAAAAACATTGCACAACTTCAAATGTCTCCAAAGAAAAAACTTCGATACAAAACAAAGAAACCATCTTTCAATCAATAACAGCTCAAAATCCGACCTTCAAACAAATCATCTATCAACAATTCCTCTCCACATAAATCTCTCTCAAGAGAAAGAACACCATCAAACCGACACATAATCCACGGAAACACATCCCAATCTCCCACAAACCTCGACCCAACAACCACAAAACCACCACACCCAAGAACACCTAACCCATCCGCAAAATGCACGCCCACCTCGGCCTCGCCCTAACCCTCACTCCAATCATCATCCTCTCCCTGATCATAACCATCGGCCGCATCTTAAACCGCAAGCGATTCTCCAACGCCGATACCTACGATCTCGAAGCCAATTCTTCTGATTCTGAGAAAGATGATGATGTTACTACCAATAACATCACCACTAGTACCACTGCCGCAATGATGCCTTTAAGACCTGCGAGAGCTGCGCTTGCTCCACAACGAATCCAGTAGGAAATTGGTATTGGAAATTGGAATGGGGTTATGATGTGTGGTAATTTTGTATCATCAAGTGAGTATGATTCTGGGGACAATTTTGGAGTTATGGGATATCAATGTATATGCAGGGATGGTTTAGGATACCCATATTTGAATAATGTGTAAAGATTTAAGGGGTTGGAAATATCAGATTTCTCATAGACGGAGTGGGAAATCGTATGAATGGTTAATTAGCGATACCTATATTCATAATGTAGTTAATACACACAATTATCGACACTGCACCAAAAATAAAATTTACCCCATGAATGTGCGTGGAACTATGATGTCATGAAAACTAAATTTGGAAAGCTTTTCAGTGAGATGATACATTGCATTTCACTAGCAAAGAGATGGAATTATGCATCCTGCCAGACACTTCGTCTGCTTGTAAATTCGGACTTTCGGTCAATTCTCAACTTCTTACTATCTTCCTATTGCCGAATGAAGAGATATCATCATTCTCTTTCTCTTCTTTATACTGAACCCCTCTCGACACCACTCTCATTCATTTATTCATTCACTCATCCTTCCTCTACTTGCGCTTCGGACCACTTTCTCAACATACCACATATCACTGACTCCTCTTCACCCACATTTCTTTTCCCCAAATTTACCCATCGATTCATCAATTAAACACACATCTACTTTCAAATACACAAGACTCCCTTTGGGTATCTGATCCCCATCCATAACTTCCTTTCCTACCCCCATCACTCGCCCAAAAGAATCTAAAATAAACTATAATCACATTACACATCTCCTCCCCCAACCTACCTCCTTCATCCTTATAACTCATAAACCCAAACCCTACAATACAAGCGCAGAAACAAAGAATTTAATCCATGAACTACACCACCAGTCCAATCCCTTTACAACCAACCCATCCCAACCACCCACCCCCCCGCAAAAAAGTTCCCCAAAACCATCCATCCATTTACCTACCCTACCCTACCCTACCCTACCATACCACACCCCCATCATTTACATTTACATCTACATTAAATGCCTCTCCCCTCTCCCCTCTTCCCTCTCCCCTCTTCCCTCTCCCCTCCCACGCATTACCATGCAAACATTTACCATGCAAACATTTACCATGCAAACATTTACCATGCAAACATTTACCAAGAACTCTTTGTGCTATTTATTTATCCAACCATACATTTATCCATCCCACTCATCAACCCATCTACCCATCTACCCATCAACACAATCCATCCTCCTCCTCCCCGTCCCCATCCCCATCCCCATCCACCCCCAAAACAACAAACCAAAGTACCAAAACAGAAACAGCAAACTCATAAATTCTATCCATAAATCCACTCAAATATACACACCTACAATAAAAAGCACACATACATACACACATACATATCCATACATATAAATACACCCAATACATACCTATACAAGATAAGACAAGAACATTTCACATCACATCACTACATAAAATCAAAGCAAAACCATCATATAGAATTCATCTCCATTCCATTCCATTCCATTCCCTTCCTATCTTCCATTCACTCTATCTATCCTCACCCAGTCCTCGCCAACCAAGTCCCTCGCCCTCTCCTTTTCTTACATCCCTTAAACCATCCCCCCCCTTCACCAACCATGCATCATACACTATACATCCTTCGCAAAATACTCTTCCCTCCCCCCTCACTCCTCACTCCTGATCTCAGAGCCTCAAATCCTTTCTATAAACACCCAACCCCCACTTTCACCAATAAACAATAAATCTACATCCGCAAGCCCCCTTCACTAGTATAAAAAGAGCCATCTACGTAAGGCCACGCACTCTCGGGTATTTTGCTTGTAAAGTCAAAAAATCGCGTCGAAGAAATGTACCAAAAGGGCAAAAGCAAGTACAAACAATGATAAGCAAACAAGCTTAAGTAAAAGAAAAAAAAAGAACCTCCTGCAATTGTTCAATTCATTCTCATCAATTCTTCCCATCCTTCATATCCTCCTCCAATGCTTTAAACAACACGTATCATATGCCAATATCCCAACATCTCAAACATCCACACCAAGAAACCTTTATATCAATAAACTTCTATTTTCCTTCAGTACTAACAGCAGCTTTCTTTCCCCAACCCCAGAATCCACCGCCGCTAGCTGGTGCTGGTGTAGCGGGCACACTAGCTGGCGCATTTGGTGTTTCAATCTTGGGAACAGTACTTTTTGCAGGTATAGTTGTCATCGACCTATCAAGGCTAGGTTTTGACGAATGTCCAAAACCCGAGGTTGGCATTTCACCATTTTGTAAGCCGGCCAACATCTTCTTCAAGCTCTCTAATTTGAGCTTGGCTTCTTCTGCTTCTTGTTTGGCAACCGCTTCAGCAGTTTTTGCTTGTACAAGTTCAAGAACCAATGAATCAGAATCTACATCTTCCTTGGAAGAACGCTGCTGGTCAGACGATGTAGAAGCGCGGAAATTTTCATTCTCTTTGAGATTTTGCGGAGAGATGAGGCTTGAACTTCGTTTATTGTAAGTCGTGGCTACCGAACGATTGGAATTTGAGCGAACAAGTTTCAACTCTCGAAGTCCTCCTGTAGTTGCACTTTTGACGCCCCACTCAATCTCATGATCTCTTGAACCATCCGGTGTCGATTGAGCACTCTTCCTTGAATTGCGCAAATCGTATACTTGTTTCTCCAATCGTTGTCTATCTTGATGTGAATTCCGAACATGAGCTTGAGTTTCCCTGATCTGATCTCGCAAATTGCTGATTTCTTGGTCTTGTTCAACAATACGCCTGCTCAATTCCTGAGACCTCGATGTCTCAATGAGAATCTGTTCTTTCGTTCGATCGAGCTCTTCCCGCAGTTGAGATCTTGTCAACATCATAGAAGATCTCCGATTCTCGACGGGATTTTGGAAACGATCTTCCACAATATCAAGTAGATTGGAAATATCGTCGGTAATGATCGGGAGAGCGGTGACTTCATTAATCTCCGACTCGTCAACAACGTCGGGTGTCGCCAGTTCCTCATCTCTGGGTGCTCCATCTAGACTCACTTCCTCTGCAATTACATCCATTCCCTTCACTGTTTCAACACTGACATCACTTTCAGAGCTTTCCACTACTTCTCCACTAGTCTTCTTTCTTAATGCATCAATCAACGGCTGCACAGCAGTCCTATCTTCTTCACGTTCCTCCCTCTCTCTTTGCAATTCTGTAGCAAGTATAGCATGATCTCGCTGCATCTCACTTAGAGCCATCAAAAGATCTTCAATCTGGCTATGCAGATTTTTGTCCTTGTTGACTGGAGTTTTTGCTGCACTAACACTAGCAAATGATTGAGCCCGAATGGAGGCGCCATCAGCAGTTGCTGAATCACGAGAAATGCTGGTTGCATCCGTTGAAGTGCTCAGCATACTTTCTGATCCGCTACCCTCTATAGAATTTAGTGTAGAAGCTAAACTCTGCTTCGAAGGGGATCTTCTCAAGAAACTAACAGGACGTGACGGGGCGCTAAGCCCTGGACTAGGTGTGAGATTGGCCGATTTTGTTGACGAATTTGAGCCAGCCCATAATCGTCCGAGAAATCGTGAGGCTGCTGATCCTACGTCTGATGGAATAGCAGTGTCAACAATCTGAGACTCCCGATAACCCGCTTCTAAATTCTGAAGGCTTTCGTGTGTTACAATCCCTGTCAGACTAACAAAATCATTGACAAATTCATCGGCATTGTAATGATAAACGTCCCATAAACCCCTGGAGAGAAGTAATTGCATTACATCCTCAAATTCGGTACATGACAGAATTTTGGTTTCATTCTTTCTCATCAATGACAGGGCAACTCGCATGATAGTTTCTGAAGCACCTTCGGCGAATATAACATCGTAGATTCGGAAAAGCATCGGTAAAGGACAAGTGGTAGCAAAGAATGATAGGAACCACTGGGAAACGTATGCAGGTTCGACTTGTAAAACATCGAGATGTGTTGACAAGGCCGGTAGATGCAGTTTTAACAATTCTCGAAATTGGTGTATTCGAACGTGGAGACCGGAAAGATCAGGAAGGAAGCAATTGCGTAGGTCATAATGTTCCATGAGACTACAGATTATTAGCAAATATTGTGACAGGTCGCATCGCTGATGTCTTACCGGACGAGCACACAGAATGCTTGCTTGTCCCCCATGTGCATCAATAAAGGTCCAACCAGAAATCCCAAGCCTTGACAATACCCAATTTTGTGATCGTATAAACTGAAGCATTTAAGAACTCTTCCCAGCATGCGCTGCCCATCTCCCTCCGGATCACGAAACATCTCGACACCAGGAAAGCTTCGCCCCAAATCCTTGCCAATAATTCCTTCATATGGACTTGACTCGCCACAGAGTCTATCGAATTGCTCCTCCAATAGTCTGTCGCGGGCCCCTGACATACTCTGCCACACTACACCTCGCAGTGGCGGGGGAATACCACTTCTAATCTTCTTCGACAATAACGTAGGTAAATATTGAGCAGTTCTTGGGTAGTCTTGTACAAGTGCGGCGTAGAATTCGAGGTCGGTCATGGGGGGTGGAGGGGTGACGGAGTATCGAAGCGCTGAGGGTGTAGGGCCATTGACCAATTTCTTGAGATGTTGCATCGATGGTGGTCTGGATTGAGCGCGAGCTCGTTGTTTCTCAACCTTTTGAACCTTTGCGATACCAGATTTTGGGTTCGAGGCGATCGCATTGTTTTCTTGCTCAAGCCTGGCTAGCAGCAAAGCTGTGGACTGCAACATGTCAGTATTGGAAGAATGTACGCGTCTTTCATAACCTTACATCATCAGAATCCTGATTTCTCGGCTGTTGTTCCTCTGTCTTCTCCAATTCCTCCCAATTAACCTCCTCTACTGATGTATCCGAGCTATCGCTTGCCCTCCGCGAAGCATTCTGTTCCGATTCTGCTGATTCTGAGCCTGTAGGCGTGGGCACTTCATTGCCATTTGGATCTACCATTGTAATTCTCGGCGAGTCTTCGAGACTGCCAGTTTCCGTTTCCTTCCCTGTTACATCCATTATACTCATTATCGTCTGCCTTTTGTCGGTAGGAGTATTTATCTCCTCGCTCGCCTCCAATTCCTCATTTGTAATGATTTTGTCGGAATGCCTCTTCGTGTCGAGCGTCAAAATTGGCGGTTCGGAAAGTCGCACTGTAACCATAGAATCATGCTGCATAGCCTGTCCCTCCTGGTGAATTCTATCCTCCACCTCAACTCGATCCAAGGTGGATGCCATTCTGGTCTCGAGGTTTCAGGAGCGAACGTCGTCGCGTGGCAGTAGGATAAACAGGTCGGAATGACAATCAAGGCACCCCAACCTCTGTTCAAAAATTGGTTCACTCCACTGTAATTAAAACGATCAAAAAAAAAAAGTCCAACCTTCACTCTTTACCCTTAGATTTTCTTCTCACAAACAAACAAATTTGGATGACCCGAGGTGGAAGAATTCCCAAAGCAGAACCCCCTTTGAGTGTCACCCGAGAGATAATTTATTACTGGTTGCACAATTCGATGAGTCCAGTCGATGAATGTTCACAAACAAGCTGTCACACTTTGTCAGATGGCAAAGGTAGGTAGACAGACAGAGGAGAAATGGACGCGCGCACGGAGATCGGATGTTTGATGTTTCAAGGAAACGTGGGTGGTAAATGCAATGCTGGACGGCAGCCGTTGAAAGTTAAACGTAAGCCAGGTTATCGTGAAAGTCGTGAAATATGTAAGTATGTACAAATTGAAATTTGAAATGAGGGTACAAAGTAGTTTTGTCGGAAGAAAGGGGTGGAGGTGGATAGATGGGTAAAATGAGTGAGTGCGTGGTGAGTGGTAATAAGTGAGCGAGAGTGACTGGTGATGTGACTGGTGATCGAGAGGGAGATGGAGATGGGGATGGGCGATGGGGGAGATTAGAGATTAGAGATTGGAGATGATGACTGGAAAGAGTGACTTTTTCTCTCATATAAATATGAGCGAGTGTGTGTTGATTGTGAAATTATATCTACCAGAAGGAAAAGAATGTATCAGATTTTTTTAGTTTTTAGTTTTTTTTTTTTTTTTCCTTTCCCTTCCCTTCCATCAACTATACATAGGTACTAGGTAGGTATCTACATAACGTTTGGATAAACAAATCCTTAGCACCCAGGTAGGTATTATGTTTATTATGATTATGCTGTCCGTCCGTACCTTCATATAGTGTACCTAGGTAGTGAGAGATGGTAGTCAGAGTATGATGAAAAGGATGGGGAAGGAGTCGATAGGAATTTGCCAGGATGGATGCAGATATTTGCAGCGGTGAGATAGCCCACTAGTAATTTGGGAGGGGAGGGGTGATTGGGGAAAGATCATAGGTCGATGGGTAATTTGCATATCTTTTTCTACTCTCGAGTCTTGAGTCTTGAGTCCTGAGTCTTGAGTCTTGAGACTTTGAATCTCTACAAGTCAACGGAGCAGAGGTATTACTTCGTAGGTAGGTACTCGGAACAAAGTACACGGTAGATATTGAATCCAAATTTCACAGTGGATTAAATTGAGGGAAGCTTAATCTAGCAAGAACGAATCAATTCCCCCCAAGCCAACCGACCCAACTTTTGAACGACAAGGATAGATGGGAAAAGTGGAATGAGCCATTGGCTAAGAACTTAAGAAGAGAAGGAAAACAAGCATTAAGGGGGTGGAAGCATAATTTCAGGGGAAATGTAACTCTTCTGCTGCTTTTGTGCAGACACATGCATCCACTCTGCATCCACAGAGTCAGAGGACAGTGTCTATTACTTATCCACCCACCATGGTCCATGTCCCATCATGCTTCTCACTCCAATCATATACCCAGATATATACATCATAGACGCCTAGAAGAGATTAGGTTTAGTGATCTCATATCTGACAATATGTAGCTCGGTGCTAGCTAGGGAGGTACAAAGTATGATAGTAGATAGCGATATCAGGATTAGTAACATGACATCTCAATCATCTCAGGTATCTCCATGTGCTCAATGAAATCCCACTCATCTCACTCTCTTCCCTCACCACCCTCACCCCAATCATCCATCCCTATCCACCCCAAGGCTAAACTCATGCTAACCACCACATCAATGATAGGCCGTTGCCCAATCATCCACACCTGCATCCACGTACCACTCACCACTTACCCCTGAACTAACCTCTTCTCCTTTAGTCATAGTCGCATCTAGCACCCACTAGCGCGACGGTAGAACCTACCTTGAGAATTCTAGAGCAAATAACCTAGTGGAGTACGGGCCAAAGAGAGTCAATAAAATGGCACTTTCAGTCCAGACTGACTCTCGCTGAAATGGGGGATTCGGGTCTCTCTCACTCTCTTGCCTCTGGTCTCGGAACTCTTGGCTAAAACGGGTCTGGCATAGTGGGATGTTTTGACAGAACGGACAGATATCTATCAAAAGAAGATGGATGCATAGATAGATAGATAGATAGATAGATAGATAGGATAGTTCGTTGGCGGTGCTTGATCAATTTATTTGGGGGCCAAAATAATATTAACAGAATACCTATATTTATATATATACACACTACTACTACAACAACTACTACTAAGATTCTAAGATTACCTAAGGTGTAAAATGAAGTCGGATCCCAGACTTTCAATTGCACCAATCATTCAGAAATACGTAGATGGTAGCCACTCACACAATTGATTGTATAATTTTACATTTACATTTGTGAAATGATTCTTTATTCAAGGTCACCGTGGCATATAAGGTCAGATAATCTTACCTACTCCCTCCATACATAGAGTTAGTATGGTACGAAAGGCCCTTACTGGTACCTGTTATGCTATACTTACTTATTATTCTTATGCTATGATCATCTAAAAATAAATGCTGATCATCACAAGAGGTCTGTCAGTGTCGAACCATTGAAAGCATCCTTACAAAACAATATTGATCACCACACATCACAATCACCAAAGATCTTCATTCCTCAAAAATGGGTTGGAGTTTTGTTTTTACAAAGAAAGATGTATTTCATAATTGGCTACCTATGTATTGATCAAATACTATACGCATACAAATGGTCTACTAAAAGAGTGTAGTGGGAAACCGATCCCATTCGCTTGCACACAAAATCCCTTGATGCACAAATTGATATCCTAAGGCAAAGAAACCACTTCGCATAACAGTCTTTCCTAGAAGACTAAATCACTGTGACGAGCTGAATATCTCACCCATAAACGCCTGAACACAGAAAATACGATATCCATTTACTCGCTGAAGTCATCCTCGCTTTCATCATCTTCCACCAATGCGGACTCATCAACATCATCAACGTCATCATCGTTCGAATCATCCGAATCGATGGTATAAACTGGCTTCTTGGTTTTGGCAGCGGCAGCTTGTCTTGCTGGACGACCACGGCCTCCGCGCGCAACTGGTTTAGGTGGAGAGTCCAGCTCATCTTCCTCGTCATCCTCATCATCGTCAACGACTGGCTTCACTTGCTTCTTAGGTACAGGCTTCGAATTTGTAGAACGTTTGGGAGGAGGAGCGATTGACTCATCTTCATCATCGTCATCACTAACGACAGGCTTCTTGGAAGCGGCTTTAGACGTAGTACCTCGCTTCGTAGGAGGGGCGATGGAGTCGTCCTCGTCATCGCTAAGGGCGGACTTTTTGGGCACAGCTTTTGGTTTGGCTCCTCGTTTAGGGGGAGGGGCAATAGAGTCATCCTCATCATCGCTGATATAAGCTGGCTTGGAAGCAGCCTTACCGTTCGTACCTTTTCTGGGCGGTGCAGCATCTTCCATCTCAACGTCTTCGTCTGAATCGTCACTGAGGGCATATTTAGTCGCAGTCGCCTTAGAGCTGGCTTGTCTACCTTTGGCAGCAGGCTTTGCTGGCAGCGGTGGGGCTTCTTCCATATCCTCATCCTCACTATTATCCTCGTTGTAACCGATTGTTTTAGAAATTTGCTGGAGGCGATTTTGTTTCGCTGCATATGCCTTCGCAGCTGGTGAATGAGAAGCAGGCTTTGACTCGGCCTCTGCAATGGGTTTTTTGGCAACTGGGGCTTTCTTCAACTTCGATGTTTCTTTTGTTGCCTTTGCTTTCTGAACAGGAGCCTTCTTGGAGGCCACCGGAATAATGTCATCGTCAGAGGACAAGAAACCATCAACTTCGTCTTTGGCTGTAGGCTTTTGAGGGGAACTTCTAGCAAGCATTTCGTAGTTGGTCTCATCTTCGGAAAGATCAACCACCTTGCTGGGCTTAGATTTTTGCTTAGGTAAACCCGTGCTACTGCTAGGTCTGTCGCCATTGCTTGTTGACATTGCAAACAAAGAGAGTCTTGAATTTCCCGTGACAGCGTCTTGTTTATCATTGCCACCTATACCCTTGACCATGTTATCAATATCACCGAGAAGGTTGTCGTCATCGCTCTCATTTTCGTCGTCGTCATCCACTATCCATTTCTTTGGTGCGCTTGCGGCTGCGCGCTTGCTTCGTCCAGTACCAGCATCAAGTTTGGGTCCATCGGTTTCGGGAGCCGCCAATGCTGCGAAATCATCATCAGACATCCCCGAGTCGTCACCGCCATCAAAGCGACCAACAGATTTTGGTTTGGGTTTGTTGGAAAACATATCCATGAATCCTTGATGAGGCTTGCTCTGCACCTTTGTAACTCCCTTTATTGGATCTGCCTTGAGTGGCTTAGCTGGAGCCTTTTTCTTTGCACCAACAGTAAAGTCTTCATCTTCCTTCTTGACCCGACCTCTTCCAATAGGCTTTCCACCTGCTCCAATCTTGTTTGAACGACGTCGGTTTGTATTGCGGATATTCTTAGTGATCTCCGCATCTTGCTTGAGTTGGTCTTCCCACTCCAGGACAAATGCATCAAGATCTTCGCACCACAAGTCTTTTTCGCTGAGCTTGTCGAGTGTGTCGATCTCGTCTTTCTTGTCATACATCTGCTTATTTAATTTGTCGACGCGTTCTTGGGTGAGAGACCAAATTGGTAGCTAGTAAAAAGTCAGCATGTAATAAAAAAGTTAATACGAGGTTACTTACGCCAAGAAGATAATCATAATCTCTAGCCCCAGCGTCTTCATCAGCGGTGACCTCTTCTTCATTTTCAACCACATCATCAGTCTCGCCAGATTTCTTCGCATCGGTAATCTTTGGGAATCCTTCATAGCCGCGCTTTCGGAGCTCTGCAACAAGGACTGGCTTCTTCTTCTTCGAGACAATTAACTTATTCTCAATGATTTCAGTAACGAATCGAGCTTGATTGGTGAGCTTGCGATACTCCACATTGAGTTTCTTCATCCAATGTGCTTTACGAACAGTGTACATCTTTAGGCGCTGCTCGTAAAACTCCTCGAGAATATCCTCAACTTTATCGTATTTGCGAATCTGGCCCCTATGATCAAAGGCTACCAGATTGGAGGTTGCGACAGTCTTATTCAGCTTGAACTTTTCGGCAAGACCTTCTTTTAAAGCTTCCTTCATATGTTTGTCATCCATCTGGATGATCATGTGCACGTTTTTGTGATCATTGAATTCCTTGTAATCTTTGATAAACGATGGGACCTTTTCGGCCTTGATAATCTCTTCGAGTTTAGCTTTGAAGTCATCGGTCCACATTCGAATAGGCAACTCTGTAATCTCAACCTCGGTATCACCAGTTTCTCGAATAATACCATTGAACTTGTAACGATCTGGGCCAGCAGGCTCAGCGGTACCTTTCCATCCACGGAACCACGGCATCATTGTTTCAAATGGTTTCTCTTCACCACTGTCATCTAGACGACCCATGCGACGCTTCAAGTTGTTCACAACTTCCACGGGATGGTAGTTTGGAATGTTTGTGCTCCAACCAGTACCAATTCCCTCTGCGCCGTTAATCAGAACCATGGGAACGACAGGGAAGTAGGTAACAGGCTCAATCGATTTACCATCA